CACACTCACACTCACACTCACACTCACACACACTCACACACACACACAACACAGCAATGCTAGTCAAACGAATGACAGAGAACCACTAATGCTTTACATATTAAAACCAGTTCATAACAACACTACCCATAATCCTGAAGAGAGATCCACCAATCAGAGAAAGCGCTGTTACCATGGAAACAGAAAAATGAAAAAAATAAATAAATAAAAATCATCCAGTGACGTAATAAAGATCCTCAATCCTCCGTGAGTTTATGTTCTTACGTTCACTCACAGACGAGGAATATTTGTTCTGCAGACACATATTGGTGAATATTTTGAACTAAGCAACAATATTCATGTTTTGCTGCTGCAGATTTGACGTGATTCCCTCATGAGTGTATTTCAGACCGTAAGAAGCTCAAGCATCAGCAGACAGACAGCATCATAATCAAGATACAGTGAGCTCATGCTGCTCTCGCTCCTTCATCAATATTTCACTTTCATATGAACATCATCACACCGCATTCACATCATAACCAGCTGCAGAGCCTCTTCAACAGAGCCAACGCTTCCTTCTGTCTGAGCTGCACACCAGAACAATAAACCTGCAGAGTTTGATCGATTCTGAAGATGAACGACATTTGCCTGCAATTTATTTTGTCAGGAGGCGTCTTTTATTTTGTGCTGCGCAGCAGAGCTGCTCGTATTAATCTTGAGGGAAGCTTGCACAGCCAAGTGGATCTTCTCTAATTGTATAAAGATTTATGATTTAGCAAAAACAAAACTGCAGCATACAATACCAAAGACTAATGAACATGTTCCTGCATAGAAAACCAGAGCGGGTCTTTCTCCTCCCGCATGAATCTGGCCTGCGCTTCGCCAAAAACACTTCAGACGCCAGCGACAGCAGAAACCTTCAGATGTGACGCAGAAGAATGGCCTGCTCGTCACCGCAGTGTGAAATCAGCTTTCATTGATGTATGGTTTGTTAGGATAGAACAATATTTGGCTGAGATACAACTATTTGAAAATCTGGAATCTGAGGGTGCAAAAAAATCTAAATATTGAGAAAATCATCTTTAAAGTTGTTCAAATGAAGTTCTTAGCAATGCATATTACTAATCAAACATTAAGTTTTGATATATTTACGGATATAAGATAAGATACAGTAAACTTAAAAATGCTAATATTTACTAATGATATAAAATACCTAGGTTTTGGCTTTGTTTGCGTGTGCAGACCGATCGGCGTATGCCATCAAAGTACCACACAGACGGTTCTGCTTTCGAAACGCTCTCGAGGTACTTTGATGTCAAACACTGATCGGTCTGAGCCGCACTGCTTTTAAGTCGAACACACCTAATATGTTTGCGTAATTGCATCGCTTTGACCGTAGATCCCACCTTCTCACACGCCATGATTGGTCCATTATGTACAATGCCTGCATGTTATTGGTCAAACTACTTTTCGATCATTACCTTCAGCAAGCATGAAAACAGGAAAACAAAGCCAAAACAAATCCTGGCCAGGACGCGTCCGGGAAAAATGGCACGTATGGTCACCCTAATAGAACCACTGATCTATAATAGAGATTTATTATAGCCTATATAGATCAGTCTATAGAACTCATTATAATCAGTGATGCTGTCTACTCTGGATGCGGCGCGACACGACAAATCCCCGACAGTAAACTGATGCCGCGTTCTGTTTATGACGTACGTGCTGACACAAATTTCAAATGATGTTCAACGGTCGCTTTGTCGCATCCAGTGTAGACAGACTTTAGCTGATGCGGCGCGACATAAAATTTAACTTACCACATAAACAGAGTAAGGAGAGATGACTGAGGACGATGGCGAATGATTTGCAGATCCTCAGTACCACTGACAAACATATAATCTTGTAAAATGTGTGGCAAGTACTGCCGCTCCATAGTATAAACAGAGTACGAGCGATCTCGAAAGTGAAAGTGAAACTAAAAGCGATGCCAGTTTCAATGCCATGTATAATAGCGGCTCCCTGATGCCGAAATATATATGATGTATAATTACCCAATTATATAACTGCGAGGAAAAATATTGAAATATACATTTTCCTTCCATCTCATATTTATTTCCTTTAGGGGTTCCGCCTACACGTAATTTTCTTTCCGAACACGGTATTGGGATGCGGGGGGGTCACGATGCCGGCTCAACATCGTGATGTCTATCAGCTATCGGTGATGAACGATGGTATCGTCTATCGGCCCAACCCTAATTTACACAGCGCATTTTTACTTAGGTTACGCATATTAGATCATGAATTAATAAAATGCCGTTTCTGCAGTCACACAGAGATCATAAGTATCGTGCAAAACTGCAAAGTTTATTATTTGCATGCACTTTGAAAAATGATCAGTTTAAACTTTTCAACGATTTTGCTCCTGTCTTATTGTGCTTAATCTGTCAAATACACATAAGCTTCACATAATCGAGCTGCACAATGAATTATATTTAAATCATGATCACAATTTCTGCTTCTCTTGATTTATTAAGCTTACTCGTCTGCGATATTTTCCACATTTATCCATTTATTTGGCATTTGCGTCGTCTTGCATTGGTAACGAGCCTCCACAAGCTTTCATGGTTGCGGTTGCCAGATGCCAAGAGTTTAAATCCCCAATCAGAGCTCTGCTCGATACATTTATCTTCCCAACCTGGCAACCATTCACACATGCGTTCTCTGCATTATGGAAAAAACAAACATGTAAGCTGGAGTTTAGTGATCTCTATTGAGGTTTTCTGCTCAAATAATAGTGTCATACATCCAGTCTATTTTCTTTCACGCGTTCGTTTGCACTGTTTGCTGCGTCTAAATCTGTGTGCAAACCATGTTGATGTTCTCTTGATTTGTGCTATAATTCTGATGAAATATAAACAATTCTAAAATGGCAGTATTTGTGAGTGAATCGTGATGAACAGTTTAACCATTATCATGCAGCAAATGCAAACAGTTGTGAGAATATCAGATGTGTGTTATACTCTGGATCCATGCAGTCGTCTGTGTTTTTAATGTCAATCAATCAACAAAAGAGAGTAGATCTCTCACTGCTGTTGACTGAATAATACAGTGAGGATTGTGCAGTGTTTTATCTTTACATCTGATTATTCAATTTCTTACTTGAATGCTGCTGCTAAACAGACCTACTGTAGCTGGAAAATTAAAGCCGGTTATTTCATCTGTGTCGCTCTTATATTGCATTTTCCCTACTGTTTGCATCTTTCTTCGTAATTTAATAACAAGGATAAAGTAATGAAATAAAGGAGTAGGAGAGGATGAGCTGTCATTGGTCTGACGGCCTGTCAATCACACGGCGCTCACCTTGAACGATGAGATAGACCTGTGACGTCTTGGGCTGCTGTTTGGTCTGGATGGAGCAGGTATACGGACCCTCGTCGAACACATCCACCTTCTGTATCCGCAGACTGTACTCCAGCTGACCCTGAGTCACCAGCTCCACCCGCGGGTCCAGAGACCACTTATCCTCACCCGCGAAGATGATGTTCGAGCGGTTCAACCAGGCCACCTTCGACACCTTATCGTCCACATAACACCTGACAGAGACACAGACAGCTTGGGTTATTATCACACGTATCCAGACGGGTCCAGATACACTCATGTCATCCTTTAACTAGATTTGAGTGAGTGACAAACAACCTTCAGACGTCACTGTGCTGAATAAAAAAAATTTTCACTCAGAAATTGCTAGTAAATTCACAAAGAAATACAAAGAAATGACAAGCAGCACAGTTAAAGGAATAGTTCAGCCAAAAATGAAAATGTGCTCATCCGAGATCAGGATGAGTTTGTTTCTTCATCAGGTTTGTAGAAATGTAGCACTGCATCAGTGTCTCAGCAATGGATGCTCTGCAGTGAATGGGTGCCGTCAGAATGAGAGTCCAAACAGCTGATAAAAACATCACAATAATCCACAAGTAATCCACAGCACTCCAGTCCATCAGTTAACATCTGGAGAAGACAAAAGCTGAAACAAATCCAGCATTAAGACGTTTGTAACTAAAATACATTGAGTCCATAATCCATAATAAC